GCAGATAGGGAGGAATGAAGGGAATTTATGCAGTCAAGGGAGAGACGTGAAATCTGGGGAGTGGGACATCCTGGGGGAGGTCATGACACGACTTGTTGTTTTAATTTCGGAGGAATTACAGAGCCAAGAACGGCAAATAAACATTCTAGGCCCGGCAGGAAGGAAACCTCTGCTGTTGATTGGTATCATACGGTATCTACCGGGGTAACGGTGCTCTCGCCGTATCAGTGAGCTCGATGCGTTGTACATGGCATATCTCAGCTGCGGTTCAGTCGAGTGGTGCATAACAGCATCAAGCAGCTGCTGCTGAAATCTGGCTCTGGCTGTCAAAACCACAAAAAGCCCCTTCCTCTCCTTTGTTGTTCTCTGCCATGTAACGGTCACACGTATCCATGAGGCCGCTCGTGTTGTTGTAGTATGGAGCCTTTTTGCCGGATCAGCATCTGCTCTCGCGGCTGGCAGTTTCACAAAAAAAGGAATTATACCTTCCACTACTACACAAAGTATTGGGTCAAGTGGACGGTAGCCAAGGGGGAGAGCGGGATGCATCCTTTAAATTTCGTGTCTGTCTCTGAATTGGGAAAGGGGGTTCTTGGCACCGATTTAAACTACGACTTCTGTCTAATAACACGAGATGAAGGTAATAATACATGTGCCCAGAAACTCTACGCCGGCAACGCCGCAGCTCGCCTGCGTGCCCCTACCCGAATGCTACATCACATTCGTATAAGTATCATGCAACACGGCGCTATGCCCTCCGTTGTGCTACCTGGTTCACTGATTGTCTGTCATCTCGTTCCATCAAACTGAGTAAATCCCAGGGACTGTGTCTGGTTGTCGGATACTGCTCAGAGGCGTACAATCAAGACATGGCTTCGCACTAGCTAATGCAAACGCCAGCTTAGCTAAATAGGTCTACCAGTTGGTGCGGGCACTATCAGTCATAGCTCAACACATCAACATGGGCAGGCAGAGAGCTTCTCTGTTCGGCATTACTTTTCAGAGGACCCTGCGTAAGTCGGAGTCCAGCCTCTTGAATTGTTTTCGGGCCAATCCAAAGCCGTAGAGTGATCATAAATCCAATTCATGGAAGACATTGTCTTTGTTTGGTTTCTTCCTTTATTCGACCTGTCAGTGGTTTGAGAGACAACCGTAGCCGAAACAGGCTGGTCTAAATACAAAAGGAGAGAAAAAGGTAAGAAATCGAACTCGGTTTGAGAGATTGTACTATAAACACAGAACCATTTATTTGAATTATTTTAGCGCCTTATAAACGAGAATGGTTCAGTCATTGGAGCCACTGGAACGGCCCGAGCTATTCAAAACTCTGAATGGACAGGTGCTTGATCGCTGATGGATTTGTGGTGCAGGGTAGGCCTCTTGATCTCGCCCACCAGCTTTGGCCTCGCTAGCCAGGCGTTTGAGTTGCGGGATTGAAACCAGTGCCAAGGGCCCGTTTGAGATCCAGGCAACAACTATGCACTGGCTCTTAGCTTGTTGCAGGTGTGGTTGCTTACATGGGCAGCTCCTCTCAACCTACTTACTTATTGACATGGATAGAACAGCCGCATGGATCCATTGGATACAAGGCAGCAGCCGCTGTAACTCCTGCACTACCCCTCCAGTTAGCTGTCGCACTACGTAATGAAGCACCCACCATGGCGCCGTTGCAGAACCCCACGTACGAAGGAGCGTCTGTGACCTCTCTTTCTGCTCGAGCTCTCCTGACCGATCAACCATTCCACGGCTCTGGTCTGTTAGGTCTTCTCGCCCTTGAATCGAACTGACTTCTCTGCATCACCGGGGTATCTCACCATGGCGTCGCCATCAATCACAATTGACCGCATCCTGGCGGCTGTGCCCACCACCACAAGAGGGCAGCCCACCCAGCTCTCCGCTGATTCCAAAGGCCAGCGTCTAGCTTATGCTGTATGACCCCCTCCCTTCTTTTGAATATCCGAGACCCGCCTAGCTGATTGTCTTGTCTCTTCTCAACAGTCTGGAAAGTCCATTTTTGTTCGATCCATCGACAACCCCGCCGAGAGCAAGGAATATACTGGCCACACAGCTGCAACAACCGTTGCCCGCTTCGCACCCAATGGGTTCAAGGTCGCCAGTGGTGATACCAGCGGTGTGCTCCGCATTTGGGAGCCCGAGACGATCGAGAGCACCAGGGGTGAATACGGTATTATCTCTGGTCGTCTGAACGATATTGCCTGGGACGGTGACTCGCAGCGAGTCATCGCCGTCGGTGATGGTCGCGAACAGTTTGGCCGATGCATTACTGCTGACAGTGGTAACTCTGTCGGAGAAATCATTGGACACTCCAAATCAGTCAATGCCGTGGCAATGAAGAGCCAGCGTCCCTTTCGAGCTACTACCGTGGGAGACGATGGCAACGTGGTCTTCTACCATGGTGCCCCCTACAAGTTCAACGAGAAGACGACTCTCCACACTGGTTTCGTGTTGGGAGCCGCCTACTCTCCCGATGGCACTGCTTTCGTCACAGTCGGCGCAGACAAGAAGATTCAGCTTTATGACGGCAAGACGGGACAGCCAACCAAGGAAATTGGCCAAGGGGAGCACACTGGCAGCATTTTCTCTGTGTCGTGGTCACAGGATAGCAAGAAGTTCGCAACAGCGAGTGCTGACCAGACCGTGAAGCTCTGGGATGTCGACTCCGGCTCTGTCATTCAATCCTGGAAGTTTGGTGATGGTGTGAGCGTGCGTGATCAACAGGTTGGAGTCGTGATTGTTCCTGGCCGGAGCGACGGCCTGATCATTAGCATCAACCTAGATGGTGAGCTGATCTATCTCAACGAGGGCAAGCCTGAACCTTCCCAGATCGTTCAGGGGCACTACAAAAGTATCACTGGGTTGACCGAGGGCTCTGATGGCAAGGGTACAACCGTTTGGTCAGGCAGCTTCGATGGGCGAGTGTGCCACTGGGATATCAATACTGGCAAGGCTACAACTGTTGATGGACAGCAGCATACCAACAAAATTGCCAGGCTTGTCAGTGCACCAGGTAGAACATACAGTGCAGGCTGGGATGACAAGTTGAGGATCGTCGACGAATCAGCCAAGACATTCCTGGGCGATGCTGTCCAGCTATCGGCTCAGCCCACGGATGCTAGCACATCCAACGGACTGATCTACGTTGCTACAGCTTCCGGCGTTAGCGTATTCTCGAACGATAAACTGCTAAAGGAGAACGGCCTCGATTATACAGCTACTTCGATTGCTGCCTCGGGTTCCATCGTTGCAATCGGTGGTAACCAGAACGCCGTGACCATTTACAAGAGCGGCTCGTCTGGAAGCCTCGAGAAGGTTAAAGAAATTTCCAACCCGACTGGCTCGATCTCAGCTCTGTCCTTTTCCAAGGATGGTTCACACCTCGCTGCCGGAAATAGTGTTGGAAAGATTTACGTATATAAGACAGACTCGTGGGAACTGGCGGCAGACCGTTGGTCAGCTCATACTGCCCGTGTGACCTCCATTGCTTGGCACGACTCTGGCAAGTATGCCGCCAGCGGAAGCTTGGACACAAACATCTTCGTCTGGTGTCTCGAGAAGAGTCTGCAAGGAAAGCGTATCAAAGCAGCAAATGCCCACAAGGACGGTGTGAACGGAGTATGCTGGGTGGCCGGAGGAAAGGTGGCGAGTGGCGGAGGAGATGCTGCCGTAAAGATCTGGAACGTTCAGAACCTACCATAAGCGAGCGTGAGATGCATTGTTTGAGCCATTGAATGAAAATATTGATTCCCCAATTTCATTTCTATACCGTCCGCGACCCCGAGATACTGGTGATAATTGAACCCGAGGTTGGGCTCATAAATTAACTTAGAAAGCAGTCCATATTCCCCCACTCATATCATGTTCTTTTTCATTACCCGGACGTTGAATTTGAAAAACGTCATCATCAGGGTCCGAGGGTACGTGCGAGAAATTGCTCGAAGGAAACCTATCCTAATCATGAACCATCTGAGAATTTTCTTCCCTTCGAACCTCTTTAGGGGAAATTTCCCACAAGCTGATACGAGTATGGGCTTGCGAAGACGTGCTGTGAGGCTGCCATCGGTTCTTGTTCTCTTCCCAAAGGCGATTTGACTTATCGATCGCACCTTGAAGGTCTTCGAGGCTGGATACTTGTGAGATGATGGTGGCCATTGGCATAGAGAGTCTGCTGAATCACTATGGTAGACTCTCGGAAAATAATACTTACTCGGTGCTGCTTTGTGTGGCATAGCCTTCGTCGGCAAGATAACGAGCCATCTCTGATTGATGGTCGTCCAATAGGTCCGTGTTGGGCACAACAATTATAGGCAGGCCAAGTTTCCAGGCATCGAGGATCGTCCCAGTTCCTAGTTATATTTAGTCAATAAAATATGACCATCGTCAAGTCATGCTTCGTAGGGCGTACCAGCGTGTGAGATTATTAGGCCCTGATCTGACTTTCCAGCGACTGCTTTGCAAAGTGTCATTTCCTCGAGCATCAGATTCTTGCTCAGTCCGAACACCTCGACCGTCAGACCTGGAGGAATTTGATCTTTGTGGGAGGAGAGGTATTCGGATGCCCAGGGCAAATCGGGGCCGCATTGAATTCTGAGGGAAGTGAAGCCATGGGCTCGTATATGTTCCCAGAACTTATTCTCCAAAACTGTCTTGATTAGCTTTGGAAAGCCCACGGTGGCTCCCACTGTTGCTAAGCAGCATCTCTCGAGCTGCTTTGAGGAAGCCGTCATTTTTGAGACGATGAGGAGTTTGGATGCTACTTGGTGTTGAAGTGAGTAGATGTTGACCACTGGTTTGGGGGTATAGGTTAGGAGGTAGTTCTCGGTGAGGCTCCGATTCACGGTGTGTGTGGAGGGTCACACCGAGCTGGAAAATTTTCGGCAAAACGTGCCACCTCAATTCCTGGCATACACCCAAATTTTTGATATGCAACCCTCCGTGGCGTGTGTTGAGGCTCGATCTTCGCAACCACGAATCAATTCGCCATGGCGTCGGCTGCAAATGCCGCAAGGCTGAACATATTAAGCTGCAGGCAAGTCGTGAGACTGCCGAGGGTGGCCCGGCCCCAGCTCATCGCAACCCCCGCGACCAGTCTCCGACGAACGTTTACCAGCACCACCGCTCGACGGGCCGAAGAACCACCTGCACCGACGACGGACACGGATGCGGCAGCTGCAGCTGCGAATGCGGTAGATCCCAATTTCGCAGATTTGAAGGCGGGCAACATCGACAAGCTGCAAGGCTCCCGGATCCTCGATTATGCTGCGAAAGAGAATGGATATCTTGACTTTGAGGAGTTTGTGTCGACTCACCACAAGGTTGGGGCTGATGCTCCTTCCTCAATTCCGAAAGTGAGAGCGTTTGAGCAGACTCTCAAAGAGATTGACGAGGGACCGAGGGCCGAGAAGAGCAGTTTCTGGTACGATGAGGATGATCCGGAGACCAACACTAACGAACACGATGAATTCGATGAGGACGATATCACGGAAATGGCACACTCGAAATTGGAAGAGGTCAGGGAGATGCGCCACTACCAGCGCCTCGCTATCTGGGAGCTCCCTCTCCTATCAAGTAAGGAATATTGCCAGCTGCGAGGCTCTAACTAGGCCTTCAATTGCGAAGATGGAGGGGTAGCTAACACTTTGGTTTTACAGAGCTGGCAAAGCCGTTCGAACCACCTACGGAGAAGCAAGTCCTACGATGGCGCTACACTACGTACATGGGCGACACGCATCCTGCAGAGAAGAAGGTTGTCGTGCAATTCGCACCGGACGACCTCGGCCTCACCCCGGTGCAGGCCGAGAAACTGAAGAAGCTCGCCGGCCCCCGATACAACCCCGAGACCGAGTTCGTCAAGATCAGCTGCGAGAGCTACACGCACCCCGCGCAGAACAAGCGGTACCTGTCGAACCTGGTGGACGACCTGATTGCGGCTGCCAAGGACCCCAAGGACACGTTCGAGGATATCCCGCTGGACACGCGACACCACAAGATCCAGGAGAAGCCTAAATTCCCCAAGGAGTGGCTCATTACTGAGGATCGACAGAAGTTCCTGGAGGAGGACCGGCGGCGGGTGGGTCTGGAGGAGTACCAAGCTATCCAGTCTGGCGAGCTGGTGGATGGCAAGCAGGCCATCAACAACTACCTGGCGAAAAAGATGGAAGACGAGCAGCGGAAGCTGGAGGAGGTTGTGGAGGTCCCCAAGGGAGGCGCGGCTAAGCCATCGACTTGGGCGAGCAAGTCGGGCAAGGCGAGGAGGTAGCGAAAACCAGACTTGCTCTTGTGTATTGTCGGTTGTATCATATATACTTGGTGCCGGTGCCGGTTGGATGGTTTATGTGAAGCATGTACGAATTATATAGGCAATTCCTGGTGGGGTGCCACTTATTATTGTATATTAGGAAATGCTAGATGTTCTCTCACATTGGGTGAAAAGCGATGCTTGAATAGAAGAATAGCCATGTGGAGTTGGGTGCCATGCTGGAGATAATCCGATAAGCTGTTTAGATCGACGGCAGATGTAGCTTAAATGCATGTCCCAACTTGGAAAGTTGCGGAGTTTGGGTAGGAGTGACGGGGTTGATAATCGCTTTGGGTCCGACGAGATCTAGGCTTCCAGTCACAGGCAAGCGTTTAGGAAGCCCACGGCGAGTTACTATACCATATAGGTACCTGCAGTGATATTTGCGAGCCTCGGCACACCGTCGCATCTTGGAAGGTGAGCCGCGTCCGGGGTCCGCGCTCTGTACCGAGGCAAGTTATAGTCGAGGGTCCTTGATGGTTGTCTTTTTTTTAGTCAATGTTCTCAGTTGGGAGTTATTGGTTGCATATACTGACGCATGTGTTCTATACCTACCTACATATGGATTAGCTACTATGTACATACCTTACCTGGAGGATATTTCGAAGTTGAAGGTCTACATGTAAGTAGCCAGTAGCGTTCAATGCGGGGACCGAGGTGCTTGAATTTATGGAGACTGTCTCTTGGCTAAAACGGATTGCATCCCTTTCGTCTTAGCGACACCGCTGCTCTTGCCGGACTTGGTCCCCGTGCAACTGTGACAGGCAGCTCTAGGTGAGCAGCAGTGATGGAGGGTTGCTCCTTAAAGCGGCGCTGGATAGGAATGCCGTTGCGGTGGTACCCAGACTCCGGCTCCATTGATATGGTCATAGATGTTCACCACCACCGCCGTCGTTGTTGGTCTGCCTGCATTGGCCCCTCTGGATTTCCTTCACTTTGATTCAGGAGGGTTGCATCCGTCTGCTTCTCCTCTTTCCCCATCCCCCAATCCCACCCTCCCTAACTCTCATTCCCCGAGGTCATCCATTGTACATATCTTGCCAACCATCGAGCCTGCTCTCCAAGTCCGTGCCCTCGTCCTCTTTTTACCTTTTCTTCAATCCTTGCAAGGAACGCATCTGTTCTATTTAAGGGCCATTTCACGGCTTCCAACCTCAAGTCGCCTTTCCAAGGCCCAGTCACGGAATCCTTCCGTAGAAGCGACGCTACTGTCTTCCACGTTTTTGCCCGTCGGCCTATCAGTTGTCCCGCTTAAAGGGATCTGGGTCTACTCCCTGCAGTTGAAGAACCCCAGTCTGCGCTGTCTTCGATACTGTACCTCATTCATCAGAACATCTCTTCTCTACCATAATTGATTGACTCCATAATGGCTCCCAAAACCACCTCTATCCCTCCCTTCCAGGAGTCATCGCTTGCCAGCATCTCCGAGGATGTTGCTGTTTTACGGGCCACGTACATGACAAACCGCACCAAGGATATCCAATTCCGCCTCAAGCAGCTTCGGAAGCTCTACTGGGGTCTCATCGACTACACCCCACTCCTGGAAGAAGCCCTCATCAAAGACATTGGCAAAGTTCCTCATGAGGCTGCCTTGAGTGACATCGGCTGGGCTGTCAATGAGTGCATGGACTTCATCACCCATCTGGAGAAATGGGCCAAGGACGAGAAGGTCGTGAATACACCCCTCACTATGAGCGTGGTCAAGCCTCGCATCAGGAGCGAACCGCTTGGTGTTGTCCTCGTCATGGGAGCCTTCAACTTCCCTGTCCAGCTGTCCATTACGCCCATGATCGGCGCCATCGGTGCTGGAAACGCTGTTCTGTTGAAGCCATCCGAGAACGCGCCAAACACCGCCATGGTACTGACCAGACTCATTGAAGAGTACCTGGACCCCGACTGCTATAGATGTGTGAATGGCTCTTTGGCCCTCACACAGGAGATTCTTAACCAAAAGTACGACAAGATCTGCTTCACCGGAAGCAAGAAGGTTGGAACCATCATTGCCAAGAAGGCTGCTGAGACTCTGACTCCCGTCCTCCTCGAGCTGGGAGGGCAAAATCCGGCCTTCATCTCCAAGAATGCCAACCTGAAGGTGGCAGCTCGACGGCTTCTCTGGGCCAAGACGCACAATGCCGGCCAGGTCTGCGTCTCTCAAAACTACGCCCTTGTGGAAAGGAATGTCGTGCCACAGTTCATCGACGAGTTGAAGAAGAGCTACAAGGACTTCATGCCACAAGGAGCCAAGGCGAGCCCTGACTATGCCCGCATCAACAACAAGTCCAGCTTTGATCGCTTGAAGAAGATGCTCGATTCCAGTGGTGGCAAGATTGTCCTGGGTGGCTCCATGGACGAATCCGAGCTCTTCTTTGAGCCTACAGTGGTGTTGGTCGAGGACCCAAATGACATTTTGATCACTGAAGAGACATTCGGTCCAATCTGGTCTATTTTCCCCGTTGACTCGGTCGACCAGGCCATCGACCTTGCAAACAAGGTTGACCGCACCCCATTATCACTCTACACTTTTGGCAGTGACGCAGAGAATGCAAAAGGTGAGTACACACGTCTTCAGCACCGTTGTGATGAGACCAGCAGCTAACCCGTAATGAAACAAACAGTACTAACCAACGTCACCTCCGGAGGCGCAACGACCAACGACGGCTATACACACTCATCCGTGGCCCAGGCACCCTTCGGCGGCGTGGGCTCCTCAGGGACGGGCAGCTACCACGGCTACTATTCCTTCAAGGCCTTCAGCCACCAGCGGGCGATTGCCACGGTCCCCGCGTGGGCGGACGTCTTTCTCCGGGTTCGCTACATGCCCTACTCCAACGGCGAGCTGAGGCGCTTCAAGGGCATGACCACATCAAGGCCAAACTTTGACCGTGACGGGAACGTCACCAAGGGTCTGGGTTACTGGCTCGGCTTCGTGTTCGGCCTCGGTGGTAGTAGTGCGAAGAGCGCTGTTTTGAGGTGGGGACTCCTGATCACTCTTGCTATTTCTTTGGGGCTGAAGAGATCGTCTCTAGGCCTGTAGACGATAAGTTTGCTTTGCAGAATCAGAAAAATGGGAATTCGTCGGTCGCTGCGCTGGTTGATCGGTAGGATGTTTACGAAACAAGCACGTTCATTTCACATGTATATCCGTCTGGGACAGTGGAGGGAAGGACTGGGGTAATGAGAGGATATTTGCACTGGTGGTATGTATCATATGGGAGATTGTAGTATCACTGTAAGCGGCAGCGGACGCTCAAGTTTATCTTTTCTTTTTTCAGGGCCAAGTAATGTATTCGAGATTTCGAAAAGGGGGCTATCTTGACGCCGAGTATCATTATCAGCGATAATAGCTCTTTGAACTGGAAGATGATCAATGTTTACTTAAGTAGTGAAAAAGACTGGGCTCGACTCTATTACCGACCAGTCAATATGGCCGCTAACCTCTTCCCCTTCTCACCACCAAGATAAAGATCATCATCTGGGGTCTCCCGTCCCAGTTCAACGGCCTCGTGGTATCCCCGCGTGACCGTATCCTCATCCACCTTCAGCCCGTGCTCAACCAGCGCGAGAATGACGCTCTTCAAGCGGGCAATCTCCCGCATCGTCGCGGGCTCAATCTCGTCGTTCTGGCTCGAGTACACCTTGCTGCTCACGCTCTCCTCCATACGGTTGATTCCCGCAGCCTCGGCGGCGACGTCGCTCTCGATGTGCTTGCTGATCCAGATGTACCCGTTCACCCCGAGCAGGACGCCCACCTTGCCGCCCGCGTTGGCCGCCTCGAGCGTCCAGACCTGCCGCTTGGAGCGCACGACCCCGGACCCCCCTCCCGTGCCGCTGACGGAGACGAAGACGCCGTTGCGCAGCTTGCCGTACTTGAGGCTGCGGGTGTGCAGGCTGGCGGCGCCGTCCTGGTGCAGCTGCTGGATCTCGGCGACGACGAGGTCGCCCTCGGCGAAGAAGCTGCGGATCTGCAGCTCGTCCGTCTCGGTGCGCTTGCGCAGGATGCCGCCGGGCAGGTTGATGGCCGAGATCTGGAGGACGGCGAGCTGCGAGGCGGCGACGTCGACGCGCCAGCGCTTGGCCTGGACCTCGACGATGCGGCCGACGACGAGGTCGCCGATCTCCGGGGTGTAGCGGGCGCGCAGGGGCCGCACGGAGAGGAGCTTGTTCGTCTTTGTGAGGGTGCCCGCCAGTGACGAGGTGATGGACGTGGAGTTGGGGAGGACATATGTGCCGTGACCACTGAGTTGGGGGGTTTTCCATGTTAGCAAAGGGCACTTGTATTTGTAGCCAAGATACCATTTGGTATGTGGAAAGCAATTTGATAGTGGGAGAAGACGTACCGCATCCATTGAGGGTTGGAAGTGATGATTGTGCCTGGGGTGAGAATCTCATCGCCCTCATCCTCTTCGGCGCTCGCTCTCCGCCTCTTAGAAGAACGTATCTGAACACCTCCGCTGTCGCTGTCCATTTCTGAGTCTGAGTCTGAATTCAAGCCTGCAGGCCCGGTCAGCGGCCGTTGAGGCGCTGGCCGTGGGGCGAGAATGGTGATGGGCATTGTGATGTCTGAATAAGAGAAGCAGTTGGATGAGATTAGAGAAAAGCGCTGTCCCAGTAGCTCCTCGTCCTTCACACCTCCTTCCAAATTTTCCTCCTGTCTGGTTTCCGCTATACACCTGGATGAATTGGGGGTCTAAATTTTAACCTTTAAACTGTGAAGAGATGGTTTATCGGTGGGTTGGTGGTGAGTGAGTGAAGTCTGTGTAGATTTTTACCAAGATTTTGCTGTTGGATAGTGTCAAAACCATCTGCAAATCCACCTACCCTGTACCGCACCGGCCAAAGACGTACCACTCTAGCGAAAGCTGTATCTCAGGAACAATATGGCTACTAAAGACGAAAAAGCCGAATGTGAAGTACATAAATTTTTTCGTATTTAATTATCAATACCACAGGATAACAAATATTCAACTATGACTTTGGTGGTTGCTCAAGATTCAGCTTGAAAGTTCAGTTGTTCTAATAGCCCAAATTAGGCAAGTGGGGGTAGATCGATGCAAGAATCCAAAGTCAACAAAGCAATGTCGAAAGGCAGAGGGAAGCGCTTAATCATGATTGAAAAGGGCCCCTAGGGATACTTTCGGACTTAAGCTAAGTATATGGACCACGTATTACAACCATCCTCATGAGTTTCTTCCCATATGAGGTGCTTAGGTATCATTGATGCGTGGAAGTCTCCAACTCTGGAACTTGGTAATAGAGGCAACTGGTATACTTCGTTCAATGATATGCGCGTCTCCAATACCAAGTCTGCTTACTGAACCTCCGTTTAGAACAAAGAATATTGGTTTTGAGTTAGAATATTGGGATGGAGCATACAAATGTGGAAGCATTACAGAAAGGTGCTTCGGTGTAAGTCTGAATTTAAATACCGCCGTTACCCGCCCATAGCAGGAAGGCGAAATGGGCCAATAGAATGGCCAGACCGATATAGGTTGTAGGTTGCATTTAATGCCATCCGCAAGGCCTTTCACCCAAGGAAAAGTCGTTGGGTCTAAGGTGATAATTAATTTTCACGTTGTATCCGAGCAACTTAAACGCCCGTCTAATAAACATGGAATCGTATCCTAGACGATGTGATACATTGGTAATACATTGAGTTGTACAGCAGTCTATGACGGACTGCGACTTGGGGTGAGTTGGGTTTCGTTGATGGAGAGTTTGGCGCTGTATGTGAGAGCGAGGTATCGACGTCGTTCCGTTATGAATATTCGAGATCGTGGAAAATGAAATCCAAGAGGTGTTCGACTCGCTTAATTCATGAGTCTCCATAGTCCCATCCAAGCCAGGCCAAAGGAAATAGATGCAATGCCGGCCTTGCGGCTGCGCATCCCAAATATCGACTTGCTCTGCAGGATCTGAGCCTGTTGCTTTTGAAGCTGTGACATGCCTGAAAAATAGCTGTAACCTGCTAGACCAAAGAAAGCTCCGCTCCCTAGACGTTGCACCCGAGTAAGTAAAGAGATCCTGGCGCCGTGGATGCTCGCAAATGATATGGCTGGGGAGCTACCGACCTATGAGCCTGCAAGGCAAACAGTCGTCGCCTCCATCCCGTCGGAGGACATCCTTGAAGTTCTCTGGCTTCTCCAGAGAATGGAGAGTAGGAATGCTGTCACCTGCCATCTTCAAGCCTACCACACCAGTGGACAGTATCAAGCTCGTGAGGAAATGCAAGTAATTCCTTCAGGGGTCCACTGGAGCTAAGGAGGTGCCTCTGCTGAGTCATCATCGTAGCTCCCGTGTCTTGCATGCACGCGCATTCGCTCATGACGAAATATGGTGGGGGTGACTAAGCCAGCCATCTCACTGCCAGAGTTATTGGTGAGCTCCATTGATTTACACACTCCGTGGCAGGACCAGCGTCACGATGAACGGCGTTATCGAGGCACTGTACCTCTATGACGATCATAGGTAGGCCAGATCGCATTTCACCTGACATTGCGCCGTTTTCAGGCCTCCCAAGCTGACCATGTCAGAAATGTTCTCCTCTCACATACCTACACAGGGCGGCCACTCTCCGCCAACTCGATACTCTCTCTCTACCTAGAGCAGCCGGCCCCTCAACCGAATCTGATATACCTCCCTAACACCAACCCGCCCACGCTTCTGTTTAGCTTAACGCATGCGAATCTTCTCTGTCTTGTAACCGCATCATCTGAGATCGAGCCTCTCCTGGTTTTGGAATTTATGCATCGAGTGATAGATGCGTTGGAAGACTTCCTTGGTGCCCCCCTGCTAGCCGTCAACATCGAGAACAGCTACGATGTGGTGGCTCAGATTCTTTCCGAAGTCTGCGATGCAGGCATGATCAATACAACGGAGCCCAATGCGCTCCGGGAATTGGTCGAAATTGAAGGGTGGATGGGCAAGCTGCTTGGAAGCATCAACCTTCCCGGGTATGGCTCGCTCGCTCCTTACAATATATGCGGCGTGTAGGCTGACAGCAAGCAAAGGAAATCACCCTCCCCTTCACCTTCGAGCGCGATCGAGTCTCCGTTCTCTTCCAACAGTGCACCGGCATTACCGTGGAGGCGACCAAACGTGCGCCACACGTCGAACGAGATGTACGCGGACGTTGTCGAGACGCTGTCGGTCACTCTCGCGCCCTCGGGCAGGCCCATTTCTGCTTTCGCAAACGGCACGATTGCTTTTACCTCGAAAGTCTCCGGAGTGCCTGATATCACTCTCACACTGACCAGCCCTTCTGGGAAGCACAACATCGGCGGCATCATGGAACTTCCAGTATTTCACCCTTGCGTGCGGCTGAATAGGTGGAGAGAACGGCCTGGCGAATTAAGTTTCATACCACCGGATGGACGGTTTATCCTAGCGGGCTACGAAGTGGACTTGCTCCCATTCACTGGTGGGAAGAGCGGAAACATTTCCAATAATCTTAAGCTGCCGGTCAGCCTGGAGGTAAAATCTGGACTTGGCGCGACAGGAGCCGATTTTGAAATCCGACTACAGGCTCACAAGGTATTCGGAACATCAAGCTCGGGCATAGGGAGTCAACTGGGAAGAGGAGGGCCTGGACGACTGGGCGCTGGGTTGGGCGCTGGACTGGGCGCTGGACCTCAAGCAGGAACGGCCGCCTCACCACTACTCGACGACCTCACAGTTACGGTACCATTGCCCGCAGGGGTGAGGAACTTATCAGAGGTTCGCCCCAGCAAAGGTGATGCGAGCTTCAACCCAGGAGACAGGGTTTTGGAATGGCACATCCCCGCCAAGGAGATGTCCGGCCCTACATCCTACTTCGGGTTGCGATGCACTGTGGTTGGCCCCGTTACTGAGGAGGAAGATCATGATTCTGATGCTGGCGGCCTCGGGTTCAATACTGATTTCCCCTACAACGAACCTTACCAGAGTACGTCCTCAGCGAAGGCTGAGCGTGAGCCGAAGGTCGATGACAAGGAGAGGGATGCGAAGAAGGTCGCACAAAACAAGATTCTGATGCCGACATCAGCCTCAGTCAGCTTCTCTGTCAAGGGATGGCTGGCAAGCGGTCTTAAGGTAGAGAGCATTGTGCTTGATATTCGGAAAAGTAGGGGATTGGGTGAGAGTGTCAAACCGTACAAGGGTGTCAAGTATTTGACAGTGAGCAAGAATGGGGTGGAAGCTCGCTGTTGAAAACAGCTAATGTAGCAATAATCATGAATAAGAGAAAAAAACATCATGCAAATATATCGGACGTGAAAATTGAGAAGATCGTCCGACCATGCCGTCTGATCGGATGCCGATACGCAAGGAGTCGAAATCTGGAAGAATTTCGACCAGGGGAAGACCACATCCACCCGACCCCAACTTACGACCCCCATTCAGCCCACTTCTGGATCTCCATTCTCGTGGGATTTCGGGCGGGATTGCCCTATAACACGCTGTCCCATGGGGTCGGTCACCCTAAGCTGGTTGGCTGGTCTCGGCTATACGGAGTCTAATTGGCGCGGTTTCTGCGGTTTGTGTCTCAACACAGCAATTCTGGGCGATATGATTAGCCCGAGGCGCCGTGCGCATTTCCGTCTCCCCTCCGACGTCACATAATCCGAGACCCCCCAACGGCAACGAGCCCTGCATCTTGATCCCACTCCCGTAGACTCCCTTCCCTCCATTGAGTTCTCCCCCCCATCAGACGGATGCGGCATAATGAATAGTACCTCGCTTTGGCGGCCCTGTCTCCCTAGTTAGTGGCTGATCGGCCATGATGCGGACTGCGACCATCAAGCACGCATGCAGTGGGTGTGCTCCGAGCTCCAATCGTGGACTCGGGCGAGGCTCTCTGCTCCTGCCACCTCGATACCGACGACCCGAAGGCCTCGCCCCAAGTGCGCCTGTATGCAGTAGGGGACGATGGATTTCGACACAATCCAAGCGCCCGAAGACGGCCATCTTCTTTCCAGGTTGGTTACTCCGTTGGCCCGGGCCCAATTGGAACTTGGTCGCGTGGTGATGGACTCGCGTCGCTAACATCCGCTGGCAGGCCACGGCGTGCAGCGAGTGGGCATGCTCAGCCCGTGGGTTGAGGCTTTCCCGTCGACGGCGTCCCAGATCATTCAAGAGATAGACCACACCCTCGGATACAAACTCACAGACATCATCCAGCATGGGCCATCCCGGACCCTGACTGAGACGACCAACTCACAGCCCGCCATCATGGCCACCTCCATCCTCATCCTGCGCATCCTCGAGCGAGAATTCAACTTCAAGGTCGAGGAGCAGTTCGACTTCACACTCGGCCACTCCCTGGGGGAGTTTGCGGCGCTCATCGCCGGCGGCTACATCTCCTTCGAGGACAGCCTCTACCTGGTGCACATGCGCGCCAGGGCCATGTCGGAAGCCACCCGGCGGGCGGTGACGGAGTACGGCGGCGAGTACGGGATGATAGCCGTGATCACCGAGCCGCCCTACCTGAAGAGCCTGATCAAGACGATCCAGGGCTTCGTGGGACCTACCAGGGCCGGGGACGAGGCCTCGACCAGGGAGGACCTGCCGCCCATTGAGCAGGTGTCCATCGCCAACATCAACAGCCAGAACCAGATCGTGCTCAGCGGCAGCATCGAGCGGATCCGGATGCTGATTGCGCACGTGCGGCAGTTCCTGGGCCACGACCCCCGGGCGGTGCGCCTCAACAGCGACAGCCCGTTTCACAGCCCCATCATGAAGCCGGCGGTCTCGGTCATGCACAAGCTGCTGAGCCAGAAGAGCAGGACGCCGGGGAGAGAGAATGAAGACATAATTACCTTTCCCGGGCGGCTGCCTTGTATCAGTAACGTCAATGCGCGAGAGTTTCAAAGCAAGGAGCAGTTGAAGGACCTGCTCGCCCGCAGCTGCCTCGAGACCGTGCAGTGGTGGAATAGTATCCGGTATCTCGACCAGGAAGTCAAGATTCGACGCTGGGTAGGGATTGGGCCGGGCTATGTTGGGCGCAACCTCGTCGGTAAGGAGGTGGGCATGAGAGGAAAAGACATGGTCAAGGGGGGCGGCGTGTGGGCTATCACTGACCCTTCGGAGATCGAGGAAGTTCTGAGAGGGCTGGAAGAGACGAATAATATCAAAGACGAGGACGGGACAGAAGCAGAGCGGAAAGAACAGGAGGAGGAGCGGGAGCGCAAGCGGAAGTTGAAGCTGAAGGCCGAGCACGAGAGACTGCGAGGTGGATTTGAGCCTTGGGATGGACGTGATTCCATTTAATTCAGACCACGGAAGTTAGAATTCTTATTTCACCTCTGTTTGAATGTCAAAAATAGTAAAAGATACTTGCCATGCATGTTGAGAGCAGTGTCGCGTGCGAGTTCATTGTGGGCGTGGGTGGTGTAAGTTGGTTGGTGGGGTTTCCACTCAAATCCCCAGAATAGGTGACAGCCAAAGCTTCCTGGTCGTCTCCTCCACGCTGTCAACCTCATCCACGCCCGCGATCATATAGGATTGCTAGCCGACACCATGACGACGGCGATACCCTCAATCGCCTGTTTAGGCGTCATTGGACGAAACGTGAGCTCCTCCAACCTTCGGAACCCTCCTTTTTGTCGCCCCAGGCTCACCAAATCTCCCAGAACAACCCGATGCACATCTCCATCTTCCCATCGCAGGACCCGATAACCAACAACTTCGCACCGATCCGCACCCCCCTCCAGTTCTCCCTCATCCTCTCCTCCACGATCGACGTGTTCGAGCTCCGCACCAGGCACAATGCCATCTCGGGGGGCGGGCTCTCGGGCGAGTACGGCCTCCTGCAGGCCGTCGACGACCGCCTCGCCGCCTACGGCTACGAGACCAACACGGGGGTCCGCTTCGTGTGCGTCGTGGACATGCGCGGGCGCCGCGTCGACTCTGCGGCCGCCTCGTCCAAGCAGGGGCTGCGCGACGCGGAGCTCAAGCCCGTGTTCCGCGCCATGCAGAACGCCTACGTGCGGCTGCTGCAGAACCCCTTCTACAGCCCGGACGAGCACGCGCCGCTGGGGGGCAATGGCGGGAAGAAGATTACGAGCAAGAAGTTCGTGGACGACATGAAGAGGATTGGGGACGGCTGGACCCCTGGGGTGGTGAACCTGTGAGGGGCGGTGTGAGGCCCGTGGTCTGGGTACGGAAGCTTTTGGTGGCATGCATTACATGGCGTCGAGGAGTTTTTGGGGGATTTTTATTAGAAGCGATATCCGGCATGGAAAATTACTGCAAATCGAATGCTATTAGAATTCATACGGGGGAAGGATATCCCAGTGCTTGATTTGTTTAGTATGTTTGACTGCTCGTTAGAGGACTACAATATCTACTCTCGATGTTGGTTTTGAAGCTGCTCTACCCTCCATTTTGAGAGGCCTGCCACCTCTTCTACTTCTACGCTCTGGCCCATTCCTTCGCCGGCGTTGGGTTTGCGAGGGGATATTGTGAATTTCTGAGGCTGTGAAGGTTGCCCGCCCTCCCAGTGTCTGGCTTCTAGGGGCAGAGGCTGCCACCAGTCTCCGGTCCTTGAATGCCACTGGGAGCTGCACAGCTCCCAGAGCCGCGAGATGGCTCGCTTGTACGCGAACCGCTCATCCTCCCCTGTGAAAGCCGTCGTGTTGGTGAAGTTGATTGGTTTGGTCTGAAGGCCAAAGTCGGAGTCCTGGTCCGGGTTGTATTTGGCTGTTGACGATTGTGTATCGTAGTATGCCACGTTTGGTCGAAATGGAGAGACCTGGTCTTGGTAGACCTCCGCAACTGTCTCCGAATACGTGGCGTCGTCATCCTCATCTATGACATTCTCCAGGCCTACGGCGCCCGCGGACCGTCGACGTCGCTCAGGGAAGAAGAGGTCGTCAGGAGGGTTCCTCGCTCGCAAGATGAGCTTGCACCTGGCTTCGTACAGCGCATCTAGGAGAGTGATGAAGCGCCTTGCTTCGTTTTTCATACTAAGGGTCAGGACAGGGACGTTGTCTATGATAAATGTGTGGTATGTGGAGGCCATCGTGATATAATCTGCTGGGCCGAAGGATTCAACCAGACTGTCGAACTCCCAAAACACAAAGCCGTTGTAGTGTTGTGGTGTTTGGACCTTGCGGCCGTAGACGACTAAAGACGAGACCGACCATGGAATCGGTGTAGATTCGGACAAGCCGACAGCTTCTTGGACCCGCTGTCTCCATGCCCCCTCATTGTCCTCTGTTAAATGGTAATGATTGGGTTTCTTCCGCTGGGCAATGTCCTCTTCTGAAGGTTCTTCCGGTGCAGATGTAGATGTATAGGGAGCCTCCGAGGTTGGACCACTGCTAGGTGCAACTGTCGCCTTCTCTGTGACCTCTTCCTTTCGTCGCCAGTCTTGAGCCCCCTCCATCTGCCAGAAATCGCACCTTGCCTTCAACACCTCGAGAAAGTTGGCAAAGTCACTACTTGCGCCATATAACTCCCCCTTTCCCCCTGAACCAAGACCAAAGATCTTGCGTATCAGCCCTTGCGAAGGCGTGGGGGTGTAATCCACTCCGATGGCTTTCTGAAGCTCTTCGGGCATTCTGTTGGAGGATGCAATGAGAACACCACCAAGTTGGAAGAATGCAATAAAGAGGTGACTGAGGAGCTTGCTTGCTGCTCGATCAGGCAGTTGGAACTCATCGAGAAACAGGATGGGAGATTCCTCAATCAAAGTCTTGGCCATCCATAACAAGGAATGCTCTGAATCTCCGTCTGTAGCTGTTCCAGGATTAGCTTTCCGAAAAGTCTCAAGCCGCGAGAATACATATAGCATGAAAGTGTTGAAGTGCCATCGCTTCTTCCGCTCTGTGGGCAGGCCCTCGGCCAAAAGGTCCAGCAGCATGGATTTCCCCGTGCCTACCTCCCCCGAGAGAAACAGGCCTTTTGGCGAGTCAATATCAATGGCAGCCTCGTGACTTGTCAGCTTCCTCGTCAGGGCTAAGCTTTCTCTTCCCTCAGGGCTGGTCAACAGATGCTTGAAGAGAGGGTTGCGCCATATGGGGTGGTTCCTGAGGGCGAGCATCCCGGACGTGTCAGCGTCAGCGGGTGGCTTGGGGTCGGTCAAGCGTGCGACCTGATTGAGCCGCTCGCGATACTCTGACTGGGGACGATAGTCTTTGATCCGGCGGTACAGCTTCTGTAGATGATGGGCTAGCCGATGCTGAGCGGGATCTGGCGAGTACAATCCCATGGAGACTGCTGTTTGATACTTGACCAAGGGATCTGTGATGGTCACAGCGGTAGAGAACCGCCGCATGGTAGGATGAAACATGGTGGAATATTTCTCATGTAATGTAGAAAAGGTGGTATCTAAGTGGCCGTGGGCAGAGAGAGCTCGGTGGCGTTGACTGTTGCCGGCATGCCATCAGATCGAGTTGATTGCGCGGGATAACGCATTCATTATACAATCTGTGGAAGATGGGCCTTTGAAATGTGTTTGATGCTCTGGAAAGGGATTGAATGTACAGCAGACCATCAAATTTCGCCAGGGTTGGTAAAAACCACCTTGGAGAAGAAGGCTGAAAGATGAAGACTGATGTCAAGCGTGAGGGGCCGATCTGGGAATTGGAGTGGATCCCCGTCGGAATCAGGTCCGTGATATCTTCGACTGTTTGCTAGCTCCTCGCGCGTGTCTTTGGACGAGTATGATTTACGCAAGCATTGGTAATCTGGGGAACTCGGATAGACATCGAACTAGAGGGTTGTTTGCGATGTCGAGTTTACAATTGGTTGTGCATTTTCTCAATTGATCTTACATCCGATCACAATGCCGTGACTGAGGGAAGACAAACAACCGCATGCCGAGTTCTGATATGCTCTCTTAACCATAATTTTGGTTGAGAACTGCATGGTGAGGGCAGGGATACGATTGTACAAAGGATTTATGTGATTTTCCCGCGACCTCTTTTTCTTCCTTTTGTTCTCGCCGCAATGGCAGTCCACAAGGAATTGATCGCCAATGCGGCCGACTTATACTGTAAATAGAAGTATAAGCGTAATGGGCGTATGTTGGGCAATGAGCGGTGGCTAAGTGAGTGCAATGGCCACACTAACCACCAAGTGTGAAGACCGAAACCATAGCGCCCTGCCTACCTTAGATAGCCTAGCTTGGTGTGTCAATTAGATTCCATTGCGAATGCTGCTGCCCAGCACTCAAAGCAGCACATATTGGGCAGAGGAGCAGCAATTGTCTGGAGACGGGTCGCCTTGGCCGGGGTCATCGGTCGACGTGCGACGGCCAACGCTGAGCTGGGCGGCTGACTAAGGCGTCGGCGCCTGGCTGCTCCTCCAACCAGCGAACTTTTCCTCTGGCCGGTGCCTCGTTGCTCGTGGCCGGTGGGACCTGCAGCTCCGGCGGCTGGCCAATCAAGCCCCGGGCAGCGTGGCCAGAGACAGGGCGGTCACCAAGCTTGGGCAACCTGCATATAGTACTGCCGCTTTGGATTCCCTTTGTTTTTCTGTCCAACAAAAAGCCATCTCCATCTGGGCTGGACCAATACCTGGCGAACACACATTGGGCCTGCTTGCCTAGTCCTCGCAGGTGGATGCATCATCCTTTGAGTTTTCCTCCCCACTGCGACTCGCCTCAATCTTTTCGACTCCTCCATCGCCCTCTCTCCCGCCTTCACTGCCCATCATCATCGTGGGTGCGGCGACATGCCTAGCTGCATCATCAACACCACTCCCTAATCGCCACCCCCAACCATCATCGAAACGACCCGATTTTCCTCGTTCATCCATCGTCGCGACAAGGCCCAGCGCGCTGCCCGTCCCAACCTTTCATCACCAGCCGACTACATTTTTTCGCTTCATTCGTCCGGCTGCATCTTGGGCTGACACTGGTTCACCATGTTTTCACCATCCGTACGCGATGGCGGTCCTGCCACCGCAACCCGTTCACGGCGACGACAGCGACCACTGAGCTCTGAGAATATTGCGCAACAGCCCAAGGCCAAGCGCCAGAGGCTTCCTCTTACCCAGCAGACTTTTGTCAACCCAGAACCCCAGCCCGAACCCAGTGATTCCATCGAGGTCAAAGCGGACAAGGTGCCGGTCGCTGCATCGAAGCCTGCCCACATCGAGAAACACCAAGCTCCTGCGAAAA